ACAATTATTGAATATTGCAAATACTATGTTGCAAATAGTTATTAATAAACTGATTAAAGTAGAAAACAATAATTGATATAACGTATATTAATTATAATTTCGAAAAATGAATTGGAGCCCTTAAGAACAGATGTTACTTTTTTTACACCTACCGCCGAAAAAAAAATTTTTTTGTGGTATTATTGACCCGAGGAACCTAAGACGGAAAAAACTTAATTTTCTTAAGATAAGAGACTTCACCATAATTTTACAATAATAATATATAGTGAATGCATATTTAATAATTGTCATAAAGTCTTAGTAAATTATATTAATAATTACGGCTTTTATTGACAGTAAAATTTCAGTTTCGGATCAATATGACCCGAAGAACCGAGGAAGGTTAAGTATCATCTATCGAAAGAGTTAAGCAAAGACGAGACGAGAAGATCTAAATAAATACTCATGTCAAATAACTAGCATAAATAAATACATATCTAGATTAATTCCATCTTACACACTAAAACTATCAACTATTTAAGTTATAGCCCATAATTTTACAACCAAATGTTGATCACGAATTGTGCAGATTAAGCTTTTAATATTATATTATTCAAAACATGATAGACAATCTCTCAGTATCACCTATATATTATGATCATTTTACATTTTTTTGTTCTGGAGTTTTTTTTTAATAATAATTTTTATATTCGTGTAAGTGTAATTTTTATATACGTGTTGTATATATATATATATATATATATATATATATATATATATATACAACACGTAACATAATTAACGCACTTTGAGAAAGTAGTTTGTTCAGAATAGTTTACTCAATCGATTTCTATCATTTTTAATATAGGTAATTTTTTTTATCCAAAAATAATTGAAACTACGTAATTTACAGTCACATTAAACCTGTACAGTCAATACAAACTGAAATGGACCGTAACTCAAGGAAATAAGACTTTTAAAAGTGCAGTTTTATTTGTATTAATACAAATTCCGTCATTCAATACAAAATAAACAAAATTGAACCGTATTTCAATTATGTTAAAGTCTTTACAAATACAAAGTTTGGAGTACTTTATAAAGGTTGCGGCGGCCGGGCCATTGACCTCCCAGATCACCTGATTACGTACGTAATAAATATTAATACGTATTAAATCATTAGTTTATTTTAGTGAGACAACAAGTGCCGAGGACCTAAAAATATTAATTCTATGAGTGAACGATTTTAGAATAGTGAAAAATGACACTGAATTGCTTTCTAAATTATTTTCTTTCTTTTTCTTTTTTAAAACGTAACCTCCACACTAGGATTTTTTCTTGTATTGTGGGGGCAGTGTCCAAACATAAATTTTACAAGGACAAACATCCAGACGCGGCACAATTATTTGTAGGCCATACAAATATTGTTCCGTGCGGGATTCGAGCCCGCGGTCCTTAGCGCTGCAACTCAATTGCTAAGCCACTGCGCCACGGAGCCGTTGTGGTTTAAATACAACGTTGCATGAGAGTTTAGGCTATCAGTAAGTTAAATATTTGATTCTTAAAATTATTGTAATCTTGATTCACATCTTTTAAACACGCCGTCTTTGAATTATGTCTTCGTATTGCCTCTTAGTTTTAGGAGTTCATTATTATTTACAATTACAATTCAAATGTTATGCAAATTCATAACATTTTGTAACGAATATTGCCTATTGACATTATATCATAATCAATAAACAAAATTTTTAAGAGACTTTCGATCCAATGGTTGAAGTGTGATTGAAAGATGCGATCAAATGTTTACTAGACTTAAATAAACAACTCGATGGTCGGAGTACGAACATCAGTTAGTGTTCATAGGTAGGTATTTTTTTAACATAAACAATTGTGTATTGTCGGCTTTTTTCGGCACTAATACCTACCTACAGTAGTGTCAAGCGGCGGCGGCGTTAACTCGTCTCGAACGCGAGCGAATAGGTACCTACTGTGATAGAAAGACCCTCAAAACCTATACCTACGTGAGCTACTGCGTGCGTTCGTGGATTTATACTCAGACCACAAAATTGTTCCGGAATTAGTATAACTAATTTAATAAATAATCAATGCATAAACATGTTTAATTAAAAAGTCAGTGTATGTATAATGATTATAACATAATATACTAATTGGGGTGTCTAAGTGTGTGCGTTAATTACGTTATATATATATATATATATATATATATATATATATATATGACGGCACCTGCACCGTTGTAGGTGCGGTGGCGTCGGTCTAGCTAGACAGAATTCTTGTAAACGACACGTGTACCGCACACCTGCGGCATTGCACCTGCGTTGCCACCCGTCCTGCTTGTATAAAACGGACGGAGCGGCCGCCGTTAAGACAGTCTTGGCTCTGACGTGGAACGGTACGCTTGTCGTATTCCGTTACTAGTTTATCCTTAACTCGTTGGATAGTTAATTCGAGTAAACGAATTAATTATTATTCCTAACTACAAAATTAGTCTCTGTACTATACACAATTACCCTTTCTACATATATATATATATAACAAGATAAGTATTTTATAAACATATTACGTTATTGAACTACTTTGTATTGCTAACAAAAATTTAAATTTATTTATTTTCCTACTCCATCCATCCATCCATTACATTCTAATGGTGCCTTTCCACGCTTGCCAAGCCTTGACAAACGTCTACAAGCCCCAAGCGTCCACAAATCTCGTTTGGCGTTTGGAAGTCGTTTTCATGCTTGTGAATGCGTTGGTGTGCTACGTACACCCAAGCATGGCGGACACCGAACGTGTGTCGGCTATTGCGTTTGGTTTAACATACTTTTATTTGAAATACAAGCAAAGTAATACAAAAACAAGGAATTTTTTGGCTTTTTATTCTTTTACTGGCTTTCCCGGTAATTCGTCAAGACGACTCCACGCATCTGCAACTTTCTTTTTTAGTTTAGTTTACGACGGGCTGTTTTTCGCAACTCAACGTCTATGCGCGTATTTTGCGTGTGGGCAGGAATAATGTGATTATTCGAGCCATGAGATCTCCCCGAAGAAGCTCAACAGTCCCTTGATGTTGCATGCAACTTCGGGGAGTGATCCAGGCGTGCCGAGATGTTTAGCCCTGTACGTAGCGACCTCCGGACATTTCAGTAGCACGTCGGCCGCCGTTTCTTCCTCCCCCATACATGCCCTGCACAGGGGACTATCTGTAACACCTATAGTAAATAAATGTTTGTTAAAGGTGCCGTGTCCTGTGATAGCACTTGTTACTATCCTGATCTTCGGCTTGTTCAGTCTCATTAAAACTGGTTAAGCGACTGTTTATTTCAGCCAGGGCCTCCCTAGCTTGTCTACAGTCTACTAGATTTTTCCAAAGCTGAGCGTGTTGATTAGTGAAGTGTCTACGTACCAGTGAACGAACGTTACCAAAGGGGATTAGTATGATTGGTTCCAGCCCTATAGTGGTCAGAGCCGATCCTCTTCTGGCCAGTTCGTCTGCTGCATCGTGGCCTCTGGATCCACTGTGTCCCTTTAACCATTGCCGAGTCACATTGTTGTTTTATATACCTCATTTAATCGTTGATGGCATTCATATATTAGTCCCGAGTTCACCACATTGCAACTCAGAGCTTGTAGTACCGCCATACTGTCGGTCAGTATTCTGATGGGGAAGTCATTAACCTTCCTAGCATCTATTGCTATGGCCGCTTGAATGATACCCATACATTCCGCCTGAAAGACCGTGTTATGGGTACCCAGCGGTGCGCATATGTGAATATTGAGGTCTTCGGAGAAAGTTCCAGAACCTACACCTTCATTTGTTTTAGAACCATCGGTGAAAACTCTAAGCTCTTTTGGGCTTAATCCTTCCGGCTGGCTGTTTTCATTTACTTGTATGTTGTATTTCTTATCGAAAACAAATAGTTTAGGAATCTTATCGTATTTGGCTTATAGGATAGGAATTTTTGAGTGAATTCTATCAATTATGCCTGTATGAGGGACACTATTCTTACTCTAAAGATTTAGGGTCTTGAGTCTGATGGCAGCTAAAGTCGCTTCTTGTTGTATATGTAGATGAAGCGGAGTTAGCTCCAACATCGCTTGTAAGGCTGCTGTTGGCGTAGTTCTTATGCAGCTTGTGGCAGCCATACATGCCAGTCCCTGGTAGCGCTGAAGCTTCTTAATTGTGGTGGCTTCATTTGTATTGGTCCACCATACCAGAGCGCCGTATGTGATCATGGGCCGAATTACAGTTTTGTAAAGCCACAGTATGATTTTTGGCGTCAGTCCCCATCTTTTGCCAATCATGTTTCTGCATTGCCAGAAATTTATACTAGCTTTGTTGATTTTGTTTTCTATGTGTTTATTCCAGTTAAGTTTGCTGTCCAAGATAAGACCTAAATATTATAATATTGGGCAATATTGCTGGATTGCGGAAATAGGTAAAAGTTTGGTACTTACGCAGAAAAAATTTGAGACAAAATGAACTGAATATAAAAAATAGAATATGTTCTATCGAACGAACTTAGAGTCCACCTGAAGGTTAGTGGTAATTGCAGTCCATGAACACCTGCAACGACAAAGAAAGACAGATGCGTTGCCATCTCTGTGGACGATGATGGAATGCCTCAATGCCCGTTATTATACTGGCTCTCAGTACCCTTCAGACCGAAACAAAGCGCTATTACTTTGTGGTAGAAAGAGATAAGAGTGTGTTACCTACCCATTCAGATTCATAAGCAGAAAAGGAGTTTTCTATGTTACCTCAGAGGATAGCTGGAGTTTTTTGCTGAAAAGACTTGGAAGATGATGGTTATTCAGCTTTCATTTTTGTGTGAACATTACTAAAACCGTTTTATTTGGATTGACGGTTAAGTCGTATTCCCTGCACCATCTCTCCACTATACGGAGAGCTGCTTGGGTCAGGTCGCACACTATGCTTGCTGTCTTTCCAGAGACCAATATTGTCAGGTCATCAGCATAACCTACTGTATAGAAGTGATTGGTATTTAATTTGCTGATGAGTTCATTAATGACCATATTCCACAGGAGAGTGAGAGAACCCGACCCTGCGGGCAGCCTTTCTTAATTTGGATTGGTTGAGATTCACCAGCAATCTTTATTATTCGTGTACTGAGCATGCAAACTATCCAGTCGATCAGTGCCGGTTCAACTTTATGTCTACTGAGTGCACCTTTTATGCTGGAGAAATTTTTTGTTCTGTCAAAAGCACCTTCTATATCTATGAAGGAACCTAGACATATTTCTTTGTTTTGGATGGCCTCTTCAATCTTTGTAATTACCTGATGAAGTGCCGATTCTGTTGATTTGCCTAGACTGTAGGCGTATTGCTTGTCGTGTAGTGGTAAGTTCATTAGCGCCGACCCCCTTAATTCCCTTTCACACATCCTCTCCATCGTCTTTAGGAGAAAGGATGTGAGGCTAATGGGCCTGTAGGATTTAGGGTCAGTGTAGTCGCTCTTACCTGGTTTGGGTATGAATGTGACTCACTTCCCTCCATCCCCTAGGAACATATTTAAGAGCCAGATAGGCTCTCATTATGGCAACAAGTCTGACTATTAGGGCTTTACCCCCCCCCCCCACACTGTAGGAGTGCCGGTAATATACCGTCAGGTCCTGCCGCCTTATAGGGGAGGAAACTGTGAATGGCCCAATGGATTTTGTCCATCGTTACCACTCTCTGTGCTAAATACCAGTCTTCTGCTGTTGGTGTCAGTATGTCGTCATGCTGGTTTGCCACCTGGGTTACGCAGCAACCTGGGAAGTGCGTTTCAATTAGGATGCGTTGGGCTTCTTCCGGCGATGTTGAGTAGCTACCGTCGGGTTTCTTTAGAGACATAGATCCCGACGTGTTCTGTTTAGCTAGAATATTCCTTATCCTATTTCTTGCTTGCTAGCTTGTTCGCAGATTTCTATGTTGCCACAGAATTTACGCCACCCAGTCGAGCGTCGATACCTAATACATTTTTTGTATTCAGACTTAGCTTTCTTATATAGTAGCCAGTCTTCATCCATTGAGGTATTCATGGCCCTATTTAGGGCTTTTCTTACCTTCTTACGTTTCCTATCGAGTTCTTTACCCCACCACGGTTGCTTTACCTCGGCATGCCTTGGTGGAGTGATTTCTGGACATGATTCATGGTAGCTATCTATCATGGCCTTAGTAACAGTTGCTACCTGTTCTTCTAGGATCGACTGATCTGCTATGGTATTTATCCCCTCAAAACCCACGAGCGAAGACGTCAGCCTATTTAGGTATTTTGTTTTATCCGTCTTGCGGGGATTTCTCCATGGTGGTGTGGAGGGGATATCGACCTGTAGTGTGAAGTAGATCCATCTATGGTCTGAGCATGAGGCCTCTTTTGACACATGCCATCCCGTAATTAGTTTGGCTGCTCCTTCTGTTGCAAGTGTGAGGTCGATTATAGTGCGACAGCGTTTGTTTATGAAAGTTGGTTCAGAACCTGTGTTTAAAATGGTTAGGTTAGTGCTAAATAGATATTCAACTAAAACCTTACCTCGTTCATTTGGTTTTTCCATTCCCCAAAGGGGATGATGTGCGTTGGAGCCGTCCCGATCACAACCTCTAGTCCGGTCTTCTCGCAGAAGTTTAAAGTGCAGCCGAGTCGGAAGTGGTCGGCAAAATGCAGTCCTCTTCGTCACTCAGTGAGCTGCCGCTGAGCCCGATCTCCACTGGAGGCTTCGGCTCAATTGTGCAAGCCGTTTTTTCACTGAACTTTGCCTCCAGTGATACCGCTGTACCGGTAACCATGGCTCCGGTGTCCATAACATCCGGGTTGTTTTCTACCTCTTTGCTCGGTGGAGTGTCAAAGAATTTACCTCCACGACCCTTGAATTTTACGTATACCGCCCCGCATACATATGCGAGACGGCATCCAGCCTTCATCAGGGTCGGGATATGATCCTCCGGCACCGCAACAACGAGGAACCAACCGTCCGTCTGCTTGTCAGCCTTGAGTAACAGCCAGTCCCTGATGTTAACACAGCGGTTCTGTTACGCCAGCACGCGACAAATGTCGCGTGAGTCTTTACAGGCTCCTTTGGCATCAGGGATAAGGATATCACATTTGACTCTTTGTGGTATCTCTGACTGTTTCTTTATTGTCAGCAAGGTGTTGGATTTAAGGTCGAGGGTAGCAATATTCCCTTTCAACCTGTCCAGAGCCTTCTGATCGTCGCACCACAGTTTCAGGACACCCTCCGTATAAACGGGTTTGCCCCTAAAAACTGGGCCCGACGCATCGGGTCCTGGCTACTCCAGGCCTCGCTGATCATCTTCTTCTGTATTGCCACTAGGATGTCGTCTGCTACTTCCGTCGTAATGTGACCTGAACGCGCACACGTTAAGGCCACACCCAAATCTGCTTTAGCAGCAGAAGCATAGCTCGTTCTTGCAGCCTTTGGTTGCTCTTCGAGTCGCACTTTTTTGTGTTCCCCTCTAGGCGAGGTGGACTCTTCCAGCATCCTTTTGGCTGCTCTTTCCTTCTTCCCAGGACGCTTGGCCGCTCGCTGCTTCCTGGCGGATATCCTAGAGCTGGTTCCCGCGGCCGCTACTACCACTTGGGCTGGATTTTTATCCTTCCCAGCTTCAGCGCGGCTACTGGTTCCAGCTCAATCACCCCAGTCACAGTAGCTTGCCCAGCCTCCTTGGTTTTAGTTTCGGAAGCAGCCAATGCGGCTCCTTCTCTTCGGCCTTTTTCCCGCTGCTTCTTGTTCTTCTTTTTGGCCTTTCCACTACTGCCTGCAGGGATAGACCCTCCTGATGGTCCGTCAGGTCGGCAAGTCACCTTTTTGGGTGCCTTGCCTTTCCCCTTACGGCTCACCACTTGCCAGGCAGCAGAGAAAAGGTCGTCAGTTCGTAGTGGCTCCGCAGTTTTGTTACTCGCGGGGTCATGTTCTTTTTTCTCTTCCAGCTCCTTGGAACTGGTTTTGGAAACGTTCAGCGAGGTAATTGTCCCTTTGGTGCGGGCACCTACGCTGGACGGTACTGTCAGTTGAACCGTCGGTTTAGTGACGGTTCCCCCTTGTTCTTTGGTGTCTCTGGTAAGCACCTCTGACACCTCTCCCTCTTTCTTATTGGGCCTTAAATTGTCCATAATTTTTTTGTTCTTTAAAATTCATCCCCCCGGCTTCCCACCCTCCATGGAGCCCGCACCTTTGGGAACGCGCTACTTTAAAAAAAAAAAGAATTTCGGGCGTTAGGATTACCGGGAGAATATAGGGACGCGAAGTTGGCTCACAGCGCGACATTGGGAGCTCGATCCAGCTGGTAGATGGGGCTGACAAGGCCCATCCCCACCACCCGAATAAGCTGTCACTTGCTCCGTCAGCATGGCCTTTACCACCACCCAGCCCCCTTTTCAGGAAAACTAGGCAGCCCCCACACCCCTCGCCTGCGACCCCCTGACGGGGCGCTTGGCCATTTCTCTATCTGTGACTAGCAGATAGGGCCACCGTTTAGCTTGAAATCCGGACCAAAGAGGGCGTGTTGCTTCTCGCCACTATATAACCCAGCGACGAGCGGCTCTACCCTCCAGGACTCCTTCATCCCCGCGTACGGTGCTCGACTGCGCAGGTCCTAGCGCAGGTGGGTGTGTTAGTACACCGGATACACCCACTCTCTCCGGCGGAACCGTCCCCTCCTCCTTTCTCATCCGGGCTTGGGACCGGCAATGGCGGAGTTAACTTTCTTTTTATTTTTATGATTAATATCTTTGGGGTTCCAGTTAGGACGATTCGCTATGGTAATATTCCAGAAACGATAAACTCTTTTCGTTCGACCAGCCGCTCATTTTAAATAAAGAACTAACATGCGCTCGTTGCGAAACCACTATTTCTATTAAACGCGCACCAACGTGTGAATGCGCTGCAAGCGCTTGCTGCAAGCGCCTTTTTATCTGTGTCCAAAAACCGACACTAGACCTCTTTACACGCTTGTGCTTGTGGATGCTTGCCGAGACTTGGCAAGCGTGTAAACCCGCTATAAAAGTTCATTGCTGTACCTAGGTCTGTACTATAGATTGCCTCATAGGGCATTTTGCCACAGCTACCACGCGTGGCAGGCAGTTTAGCATACGCAGATTTTTATTATTTTGTGTCTACTTCACTTGGTCTTTCTTGATTTTGTTGCCAAAATCCAGAAATCACCCATGCTAAGCCGGGGTGGATATAAAATAAAAAATATTTCAGGCAAATAATTTATTTAATATGATAATTTGTAACCTTTGTTTGTAAGGAAAATAATTTAAGACATAATTTAAATATACAAATGCATAATTTAATATGTAATAATAATTTAAATTTGACATATAATTGTAATGATAATAATGACAAATTTCATGTAATTGACATAAATAACTTAATAAAAAAGTTTTGGACATAAGATAGGTATTACCTATCCAAATATAATTTAAGAATGATAGCAAATGTGCTATCTTATTATTTACTTTTTAACTCGGCCATGACATTTAATTTGGAATCAGTTCTAACTAATTTAAATTAGTGAATGTGACAATGGAGGCAATCTCTAGCACTAATAAGTGTTTAATTAATTTTGAATACAGCCCACAAATAAGTAATAAAAATTGTTTACACCTGGTGCATCAAAATATACAAGGCATGTTGGGCAAAGAATTGGAAGTTGAATTGTTTTTAAATAGTAACAATATACACATCCTTTGTATTACTGAACATTGGCTAAAAGATTATAATTTCATGTTTAATTTCAGAAATCACCAGGTGGTCAGTTCCTTCAATAGAGAAAAAAGTTTACGTGGTGGCTCCTTAATATAAGCAGATAAGTAATTATTATTATATAAAGAACGTAAGGATATTGTGAGCCTCTCTGTTGAACGAACTGTAGAAATAGCTTGTGTCGAGCTCGAGCACCTCATTGTTGTAAGTGTTTACAGACCCCCATGTGCTACTTATGACCATTTTGAAAGGATTGTGGAAGAAGTTTTACTCAAACTTAGTAAACAGAACAAGTCTGTTGTAATATTTGGAGACTTTAATATCAATCTCCTTGAAACTTCTTCCATTAGTATTAAGTTTAGCCCATAGTTTCAATCGTATAATCTTGTAAATTTATTCTTAGAACCAACACGTATTGCTGGGCCTAGTGCGACCTGTATAGATAACATTTTTACAGATGTTAAGCCTTTGCATAAATCAATTATTCAAAATTTAAGTTCAGATCACTGTGGACAGTTGGTATCACTACCTTACATACACAAAAACCAGAAAAATAAGAAAGTTGTGTTTGTTCCAATAAGTGAATATCGCTTGGAGAGGTTTAGAAGTAATATAATAAAAAGACTTCCATCACGTTCGTTTGAAAATAATGCTAATTATTTGTATGTTACATTATTTCAAA